TACTTTTTCTGCGATCGGGTCAAAAATGCGTCAATTTAATTTTCGTTAAAGTTTTGGTTCGCGATCGACGTTTCAGAAATTGATTATATGCTAATTAAATGGATTTGGATTCAATTGAAATTGGATCTAGATATGTTGAATTTGATGTGAATTTGAAATTAGTGTATTTGATTGATTGTGAAGCTCAATTTGAGGATTTTTGGACTTTAGATCAATTTAAGACAATTCACTTGGGCTTGAATTTGGAGTTTGAAATTATGCTTAATTTGGCTTAAATTTAGTTTCAATTGGATTAGGACACGGTGAATTTGAGTTTAGAATTGAAATTGAGAAAATTTGAGATCAATTAGGGGGAAATTGGGATGATTTGAAGACTTTAGGCACTTAGGGGCAAGTTAGGATTTTTGTTAAAATGGGTCAATTTAATCAAATTAGCCCCAATGGATGGTTAAGAATTAGTTTTATGTATGTTTGAAATGATTTTGGAGGTTTTGAAAAATTTTGGGCCAGCAAGAAAATTATGGTAATTTTGATAAATTTGGGGTATTTTGGTAAATATAAAAATTTTGGAGTATTTCGATTAATTTGGGTAAGATTAAGTTTTGATGCAATTGTTGATCATAGAATTACCCTCACGGTACCATGAGAGCAAAGAACCCCACTTTATATTCTTCATGTGTTTGTCTTACCCACCCTAGCCAAGAGCTAAGCGTTTGGGGGACCACTTACATGGGTATCCAAAGAGACAAGGGAACTAAACTGAACATGTGTAGGTTGGGGTTCAAGGTTGTTCAAGGTTGTGAGTGAAAGTGTGAGGTATAAGTATATGCTAGATCAAGCCACATCACTCAGGGTTAACCCTAAGGTCAAACAGTCCTATAAGGAATCCTTCTTGAGCTCCCCCATATTAGATCTGTCTACTAAGTGCTAGAGGTTGAAACCAACATATGGAACTTAAAGATGAGCAAAGAAGAGTTTAAAATTTCTATTGGTGAGGGTATCATCACTAGTTCTCTAAGAATAGTCAACATGAAAGTCCTATGGCTAGATCTTAGACTTTTAAAGGAAAGACCCAAAATCCTCACCCAAAAGTGAGGTCAACAGGCGGGTGGTTGGAATGAATGACAGTAATGTGGGAGGTGATTGGAAGGCATGACAGCAGTTGGTGAAGGTGGTGACCAGCGGTTGGAGATGCATGATGACAATAGGGTTGCTGTCAAGTGGTTCCGACAGCGAGGGAAGGTGGTGGCGGGAACGAGAGGAGGAATGTGGACGATGAAAAATCGGAGATAAACACCCCTGCAAGAATGAGTTACAGTCGGAGCACCACTCGATTCTTTGGAAAGATATTACCACCTTGGACAAGCTACAACCGGAGCACCACTTGTCTTTTGATATAGCCTTAGAAGGGGAAAATCTGGACATCGACAGTTGTCATGACATAATGTAATCTAAAATTGACATAGAATATGAAAACAACAAACCTACAAACCTAGGGTGACCAAAGAGGGCACCCCACTCAAATTGGGTCGTAAATCCACGTAAAGGAAATGTTAACTGACTCATTTGGACCGATCCAAGCCGCTGCACACTTGTGAAATTTAACCTCGACGTGGTAGACGGTCTTGTATCCCCCTTATAAACGGGAGACGCTCCTGAGTGAGTCTCTTAGGGTTGAGGGAGCTTAGACCTCACTCATTGAACCTCCTTTCACCTCATATTATGGCGTCATACCGATTATGTTGAAGGTGGTGGAACTACGGTAACTTCTCGGTAAGTCAATCATAAAGGCGTTGTTATTCCAAAGAACATTCTGATAAAATAAACATTCATCATATTTTGGCACAATTTGTGTAGGATCTACATGTGGATGGGTATCCTCACAAACCAAATCTCGATTCATCAAATATGTAATTGACTTATTCCACTCCTCGTACTTGTTTGAGTGTATCTGGTAAATAAGTATGTAAGGAGGATTTAATTTTGGGATGAAATTTATGGAAGACGGAGCAACTCTCACTAGCAATCACTTAGAAGAGGCTTCTTCTTCTTAGATGGACTTTAATCCCATTATAGGATTTTCTTACCCCCATAGATCCTATGGAAATTTCCAATATTATGGTTTATCTATCATGTTTGATCATTTGTTGGTGGGTGCATTGCTGAACTAATTATATTTCTCAAATGACTCTATATAGTCTTCCAAAAGTAACACAAAAGAGTCTTATCACTAATGTGCTGGACCTTTGTCAGTTGGGGTAACTCAGGAAGTAGATTATATATCTGAAAAAGTATTAAATTCTTTTATATAGGGTTGTCAAGTGTATGATCTCGGTTTCTCAAACTTAGAAGCATCTTGGGACATCAATGTTAATTCTATTAGAGACTTTCTCATGGGCTCAGCTAGAGCTACGTGCATTTCTCCTTCATCAGTTGGAATCTGGTACTCCTTTTTGTTCTCACATTCTTCAGTGTCTATTATGTCATTGCCTATTTTTTCAACTACTCCATGCTCAGTAAAATATATCATTTCCCTGGTTTTGCAATCTGATTCAATATACCAAAATATGTGACACTTAAAATACTTCATAGTTCAGACATATTTCAGAGTGCAGATTGGTTCCACTTGTTCTTCACTCTAGACTAGTGTCTCCTCAGGCGGGATCGGCTTGGATGTTCCCCTGGTATACTCTGGCTCTGGCTGTAAGAATTTGGAGTTGAACCTTGTCTGTAGAATCGAATGGAGTTGTGGTGACCCTTGTGGATAGTCTTCTTTTCTCAATCTCATCAAGTTGTTGTAGCACTCGGCTGAGTTGTCATTATATCTCTTCGATGGTAAACTCTTTATCTATGTTTGACACTTATCTCCTTGGTGATATGATTGGGGTTTGGTTTTTGGTAAATGGAAGAGGTTGTATGGGCATAATGTAAGGTGGGAAAGAAAATTTTTTGGTGGCCGGTTTGGAAAATCTATAAAAGGATGGATTTTATAGTGGAGGCGAGGTTGGGTATTGGTGGGTGCTAAAAATCATAGGATGGGACTAGGGTTAGTCTATCTTTGATACTAAATGATAACGGAGTTAACCCAAACAATAATGAAGCGCCAATATTATTACTCAATATGACAATGGGAGGTTACAACCAAACACACTTGAAAGGGAAATACAATGACAAACACAACTCAATTGTATCCAAAGGTGGTGGCCTGTTTGTTAAGGGAACGACAGGAGGAAGGTGACGAGGTGGTGGATGGCTGTAGAAGGAAGGACAAGTTGTGGGGACTACGATGGGGGAAGGTGGAGGTTGGCTGCTGAAAGACAACAGGCAGTAGCTGGTGGGCTGGCTGAAAGACAGCAAGCAGCATTACCTCCACCCTAGGTCCAACCCAATTCTAGTGTTGTGTTCTTTTTCGTTGTAATTTCAGGTTTCCACATTGTTTTGTTGTAATTTCAGATTTGAATTTAGTAATAATATTTATTTTTCGTTGGATGTTCGTTTCGATATTAATGTGCTGTGGCTGAATAGTTCACTGCCTTAGTTATACCTATATATCTTGATACGTTGCTTATAATCATATACTGAATTTTTCCTTGAATTTTTATTTAATGGGTCATGAGTTTCCACCGATTTATTTCGTATTGCCTATCTATCTTGAGGTGATAGTGACAAGAGTAAGTAAGGTGGAGGAGCGAATCATGCATAGGGTTCAAAAGTTATACTGACTAATTAGTTTTCGAGTGGACAGAGTGGACCCGGATGGATTTAGTCGGGTTATTCTCTCTGGTGGTTGTCTAGGCAACAGACTTAGGGTTTCCTTTTAGCAAGTTTCTTATGTTTTCATCTAGACTTGTGTGTAACATCTTAATTTGACAGACATGTACTGATTTATTGTCTTATGCCTCCATTGAAAAATTGCTAACTGTTGAGCTTCATTTTCTTAGTTCTTCGACTCCTGTTAAACTTGGTCTTCATTTGCTATCTAGGCTTTAGCTCCATGCCTTCACTTAATCGATTTTCATGTATGAACTTGTCTTTTGTAGACCGAACAGTCCTGGCTAAGCAATTTTTTAAGATGGAGTTACAGTGATTCACTCAAGAGATGAGAAACTCTCTTCTTCCCATCACAGCCATCCCAATCTCATCCTGACTTGACTGCAAGTTGTGACAACAAACAGATTAAGCCAACACCCAATGGCTGAGCACATTTTCATTCATAACTCTTTAGGGAAGACTTTGTTACCCCTCGAGGGAGTATGCAAGATCATCATTGCCATCACTATTATCACCTACATTGTGATCACCATTATTACTTCATTTCAATTAGTTTATTTACTTCATGTTTTGTTAGGTTATTAAAGTGTTTTGTTTGATGATTTTATTGTACTTCGGATGTGCAAATTTTCAATTTATTTGCTTGTTGTGCTTTGGTTCTTATATTTTTATGTTGTGAGACTTTTATAAAGGATTACATAGAGCTTTGGAATGGCAGGTAATTGATTATCGGCACCTCTCTCTCTCTCTCTAGCATTAAAAATGTTTGATGAAGGGCTTGATTCTATTACATCAGCTTCGTCATTCTCGAAGCAAGACCTTTTTGGGCGAGCATGGCACATGATGCTTTTCTGCTCTCTTTTTTTGTTTTTTTGTTAACTTCCTCTTCCTTCACCTGCAACATTGTCCCTGCCCCCTCCTCTAGCTTCATCACCTTCATCCCCCTCTTTCATGATCAGCACTGTCTTCTCTCTCCCTCTTCTTTATCGAAATCATAGCTGTGAGGTTGTTCAGGGGGAGCTTCAACTGCAGTAGGTGGAGCAATTTGATATATTTTAGGGCACCCAATCGTTAATTTTGATCCAAATTAGGAGGAATAAACTCGTGGATTCTGAAAATCTTGCAAAAAAATGCAACTTGGGCAAAAAAATGTCTGGGCTTCAATTTGCATTGTCTTTTTCAACCATTTTGACTGAGAATCTCTCCTTTATTTACGTTAAAATTTTCAGGTAAAAGTTCAAATAGAACTAGAGAGCAATTTAAAATTTTGAAGCATGTGCTGAAAGCATTTATGCTTCGGAGGACAAAAACAATGCTTATTGAGAGAGGAACCCTGACGCTGCCCCCGCTTACAGAGATTACTGTGTTAGGTTCTCCGGAACGAAGGATTACCTTTTTTTTATTTAATTTTCTATAATTGCTATAGTCTCTTACAATCTTCTTAAAGGTGAATATCTGTTATTTCATCTTTGCAGATTGGTGCCATTTGTGACCCTGCAAAGAAATATCTACATGTCAATATTGAGGAGGGAACTTCCTGCACTTCTTTCACTCACATCCGGGGCTTGCACTCATCAGTCTTTGCAAAACATTGTATATTCTCTTACTTCTATATTTTGGAGTGCGCTTTCCAAGTGAATTCAACATATTTTAAATTTATGTGGCTTTGAATCCATTTTTCAGCAAAACTTGTATTGTAGAAATTTTATAACCGATGCAATCAGCTTATAAGGAAAATTAATCCAAAGGAAGCTTTTAATCACAAATAACCATTTACGACTAATGATTAAATAAAACATATAAAATCCAATTCTAATGATAAGATTTTAGTCTTCTAATAGAAATTAAAACCATGAAATTTCTGATCAGTAAAGCCATACATGTGATTGAGGTTTTATTCATAAATAAGAAATCAAAAGATAATAATAAGAATAATTGTAAAATAATAGCAATCACATTTTTTAACCGATTATAAAAAAAATGAAAAGAAGAGATACAAATCGCATTTTTAATCAATGATTAGAATTTTGATAAAAAAAATACTGATTTAGACGTTCAAAAGAAACTTTTATTTAGGCTATAAAACGGTTTTTCTACATGCCTCAGTTTAGAATATGTATTTCTGGCAAACAAACAACACAACCGCTAGAATCACAGTAATAGGAAAAGTTTTTGGAAAACCAAAGAAGCTGTAGATAGAGGGTTTATCAAAAATAAGATCCAACAGAAAAAGATAAAATAAAATAGAAATGACAATCCTTTTGCACTTGAATTCATAATCCAAAACTAGCCAGATAATTCATCTTATCAAAGCAAATAGAGACTCTACAAACTGATTACAGTCAAAATTCAAATGCAAAGCATTCAAAACTTAAAATTCAAAATGATTGGCGTGATTCTACCATTTTCTATTTTCAATGGCCATGCACACTGAGTTTGCATCAATTCTACCTAGTTTCTAAAAAAATGGCTTTGATAAATAGTTTTATTTGTATTCTTTCTGCAGAAGCTAAGCATATTTGTTTGGATTACTATAGATGTATAATGAATCTGTTTCGCTTAATTACCATCAAGGCAGTTTAGTCCTTTATTATTGATTATTGTTTGGTATAGATAAGGTTTACTAGTGTAGAGTTAGGATTATGCATGAGATTTAGTCTTTGAGTCTTAGGGTTAGGATTTAGGAGAGATTTTTTACTTCTAGAATTGTAGGATTTGGAAGAGATTGCCTACCTCTCAAAATATAGTTGCTTGTCTTACGTATTTGTATTGAGTTGTTTGAAGTCCTTGCAATAAAATGTTTGTTTGCACTAAATTTTGAAAATCTTCTCGGATGATATCAAGTGGTATTAGAGCGTTCAACTAGGAAGGATTGCAGCATACAAAACACAGTCGCGTTTTATGCTAGCTCGGAAGCACGAAAGCAATACAATCACAGCGCGATGACGGCGCTATTTGCGATTCAAGCTAGTTGGGACGCCAACGTCGTAAACCAAGGGATCACATCAAACAATGCCTTTTTTGCGGGATCGCAGCAAAAGAGCGCCTCCTTCATGGGAAGGTAAGGATAGATTGCTTGCAGGAGTTTTGCAACTCGAGTGATATTCGAAGTGATTGTCGGGATCACGCGATCCAGTCACAATATGCCCTAGTAAAAGCAATCAACGGGATTGAGGCCATACATGATGTGATACAGTGGCAATTTGAACCTGGGAAGAGGGATCACGACTTACGGTGATGCAAAATAGTCACGATTTGAGCTCGCTAGTTAGTTCGCGAATCACAACATAAAAGAGTTTTGTATCGCTTTTGATCAAAACTCGCGATCGAGATCTGCGACTGACTGTAATCTCTATTGTGAGAGGCCAACAGCAGGAGTTCCCACGCCGAACCCGCATACATAAATCACAACTCACGATTCCAGCATGGGTTTTGAAACTGTATAGGAAGTAACGACGACCAGGAAACTTGATGCTTTGGAAGAGAGATTGGAAGGAGACGTAAGGTAACTTAAATCCGGGATAGAAGAAATGTTTTCCTCCATTGACAATCGATTTAATAACTTAGAATAGATGATAAAGAAGCTTATTGAGACACAATCAATGACTCTGACTGTGGCCAAATCGAACATGAGGAGCATGAGGAGGAAAGCATTTACCACCAAGAACTCTCTCCTTAGACACTGTTGGTGGGTGGATTAGAGATTTTGGGTTGAGGGCGTTGGGCTTAAATGTGGAGGATGAATTATGAAAGGGATAGGGAGGAGCACGAAAAAGAGAAACCAGAATGTGATATGATTATGATTGAATGAGTGAGTTTCATTCTAGATACATGGGGGTTAACATCAGAGAGAGAGTAAATTAGGGTGGTGACACTAGGATTATGAAGTTGAAGATTTGGAACTTCGAGGGGGGAAGAAGCACATGGGTGGGTGTATCTGGTGGAGCAATACTTTGCAGTGAATGAGCTAAATGGAGAGGAGAAGCTCATGGAGGCAAGGTTATATTTTGAAGGGAAAGCCCTAACATGGTTTCATTGAAAGGGGGGTTAGATACCCAATCCGTTCGTGGGAGGAATTTAAGGATTGCTTTTGGAATTTTTTGAGTCATTTGGTAAGGAGACCTGCAATTCTATGCCTTGACTAATTGGGGGATTGTCATGGAATATAACGAGAGATTCGGGCTATTGTTGGGAAAGCTGAGGGGGATTTCAGAAGCATAATTGGAGAGGAACTTCCTGAAAAGCCTAGAGCTCAACATACGGGCAGTGCTCCGACTATTGAGACCACGGGGATTGAGGGAGACGATAGAGCTTACCCAGATGGTGGAACACAATAATCATACAAAAAACATTAGCAAAAGCCGCACCACGGGAGGATTCCTCAAGAGTGCTTCAACGACCATAACACCATGGCCCAGATGGTTGTTGACCTCATTTTTGTGAGGTCTTTTCTTCTCCTCCTTAGAGTCTAGGTTCTAGCTCTAGAAATCCCTATGGACCATCTTAGAAAACTAGAATTGAGACTCACCCTTCTAGAAGCTCCAGCCGATTCCTATTTTCCTTTGATGTCTAGCATCTTTGACACAAGACCATCGTTTTATGAACGAGCGGTTATGGGCTATTTTGCAAAGATTCAAGGAAGATGATCCAAATAGGACTTCAAGCCTCAGGGAAAACATCGTCACGACCACTTTCGTCACATACACACATCAAATACACGAAATTCACGAAACTGCACGAAATCAGACTTCAATTAAGCCCAAAAGACGGGTGAAAATGCGAACTTCTCCGAATGACCTCCGACGACAAATTGGATTGCGCCAACGCGTCCGGGGT